TATATATATATATATGTTGTTATTTAGGGAAACTGAAAAGCATCCAGGCATGTTTTCATCTATAATTCCTTATTCATACTCAGAAAATATATATTTATTTTGTAGCTGGGGAAGCTACATTTTCATTCCAAATGCATGTTCTGGTTTTTGCTTATTAGTACTGCACCATAGTCGAGATATACAATTTTCCTTCTGTCACTATGATTACAAACAGCAGACTATTTGCAGTTTCCAATAGCATGAAACACCCACAATGATCCTGGTATCCAGAGAAAACGTGATCTTTGTGTAGGGTTTAGGTGACATAATGAAGCTAGGGAGCAACCTTCTTTAAAACACAGCTGGCCAACGTTTTTTTTTTTTTTCTTTTCTCAAAATGAAGTGGATTTGGCAATGCGGACGTTTTACCGTATACTGAATAACGTGAATGTGAATTTTTTACACCAGCTCCGCTGTAAATGGGCAGTTGCTATGAACCACATCTCCACTTTTCTTTGATGTAGGTTTTATCATTTGGCCCTCTTTATGGACTTACTTGTAACTTGGAAGCTTCCCTTTGGTCTCGCGAACATAGGACACGTAACATTTCCACAGATCTATGTGTAAGACCTTCATGAGGCATCTCTGAAATAACTGGAGACATAAATCAACAATAGGTCATCTACACTAACGTGAAGACTATTAACCTTAGTCAGTCTGGGTAATTGGGCAGCATGTGTTAATAGAATTGAGCACAAGTAAATTTAAAACTGTCAGAAAGCTACCAACAGACATAAGACAATGTTCTCCAGCAACATGGCATCTGGAATCAGTTCTTCATTCAGATCAGAAAAATCAAAGCAATTTTTTTTTTACTTTCAAACGCGATCTTTGTGTTTTCTGTTTGGATTTTTTTTTTTAGATCTATTTTGCCATTGTGTGATAATTGGACAATGCTCAAGTACACTTCCTGTCCCCGGGGGTATCTCTTCATTGTAACGATGGGATGTGCACTTTGTGAATGTATAATTTTCACCATAGAGGAAGCTATATAGAATGCCTTATGTCTCTGGTTAGCCTGATGGACAAGATATGTATTTTACTGTTCAGCAATGCCACACAAAAGATAAAAATCAATTAACCATTTGAAGAAGTGCTATATCATTTTCAGGGAGTAGAATATAAAACGGAGTTTCAGGCAAAACCTATTCTAGTTTTCAATACAGTTGTAAGAGTCAAAACCTCCTCAGGATTTGTTGCATGAATCCCATCACTTTTTCTTTCGTTCCTTGTGATGACTGGGGGTTGGATTTTGTATTGTGGTGGGTGCGTTTAGTCAAGAATTAAACCAGTTTAAAGGGAGATATTCCGTTGAGTGGTAGCCAAGAGTTGGTCATTAGCTTTGATAAAACATGGTGTGTGGAAAGGAAAGTGCAAGAAACTAAGTATATAAGTTCCAGAAAACAACCTTTGCTGGGTGCAAGGGGGCCCTTTTCACCAGGGACACAAAAACAAACAAAATTGCCATCAGTATTGAAATAATACAATACCACCTATATCAACTAGTTAGAGTGACACAAAAATCAGGAGTTAAATCTTAAAAATGCATTCAAGTACCTTAACTATTAACAATACTGGACCTTATTTGTGTATCACTCGGGTACAGATCCTCATATCTCTGAATTGGTGCCAACATTGTCCTTCCTTCTGGAGGGTGGCTACTTTTGTTCCTCATGGTCCCTGTGTGTGTTGTAAAGTAGTCACTGCTCCAAGCTCGCTCCCTTGCTGGACTACAATCTCATGTTTATTAATTTGTCACAGGAGCGGTCAGCACCAATTCAGAAATGATTTGAGGATCTAAAGCCGAGATATACACAAATAAGATTTTTGGTAATACTACAGGTACTTGAATGCATTTTTAAGCTTTAACCTCTTGAGTTTAGTGTCATTTTAATATTTGAATAATGATGGCAATTTTTTATTTGTTATTTATAGCCCTGATGAAGGGGGCCCTTTAAATCCCCACAATGTGTTGGATTTTAAGGTATAAGATTCTATATTATATAAATTCAAATCTGGACTTTTACTCCTATGTTTCTGGTGCTTTCCTATTCACTCTGCACAATAAGACGAGGCAGACCTTTTTAGTCTTAGGGCCCCTTCATATCAGAACACAGTAAATGGGCTGTAACGCATATTGGCACACAAGAAGAAAACAAAAATTCTGCTGCAGTTTTCTTAACTCACCATAACACAAATTGGGGGGAATTTATCAAAACTGGGAGCAGATTTCAACTTCAACCAATCAGCTTCTCGGTTTCATTTTCAAATCTTACCTGAGCTAACTGGAGAGAGATGCTGATTGGTTGCCATGGAAAACTGCTCCAGATTCTGTCTGCTCTAGTCTTGATAAATTTCCCTCATTGTGGTTCACTGCGGTGCAACAGTACTGCATTCTGTACATGCATTGTGGTGCAATTCCAAACTGTAATGCACAAATGCATTCCTGGCATGACACAGTGCCTTACTGCAATGTGATCCTGTAAAATGTCCATAGGTGATTAAAACGTTTTGCCTGGAATTCCACTTTTACAATTCAATAAAGAAAAATATTTCAATTATATTTATGGCGCTGTACGAGTGATCTAAATACAACATATAAGATACAAGATATCAGCTTCATGATTATAATGTGTGTGTCTATCCTGCAAGAGAATTTGAGAACTGTAAATTAAACTCACCTTTTCAACCTTGTCATAGTTTTTAGCTTTAATCTGTACGTAAATTAAAGGGGAGAAAATAATTAGTATAACATGGTTTTGTGTGATCTGAGAGAATAAACTGTTAGCAACACTATTGTGATTATACTGTCTCCCCCGTCTAATGTGTGTATTGCACTTTCTTGTATTACTGTAAGAAGTGCTGCTTTATACCATATGCTGTGTGTTGTAATGCAGGCAGACTGCATGGCACTTAAAGAGACCCTGTTGTATGACCTTTTTTTTTTTTAAACAAAAATCTTCCTATATCATTTTAGGTGCATTTAATGTATTTTGTGCACATTTACCTGTACAATGCTCCCTTGTGTAGACATTGAAAACACCCAAGAGTGCTGCTGGGTACTGCCATCTTAGACACGATGTCAGCAGCCCTAGCTGACTCAAAGCTGTTACTCAATTGACACTCTACAGTATTCTCCTTCTCTCCTTCCCCGGCAGCTACAAGACGATGAGGGGAGAGATGAAGGAGCTGGGCTTGCAGAAAGTAAATTAGACAGGCCCAGAAGAGTAGGGGGCTTTGCTAGGGAACTGACAATTAGTTAAGTTAAAAGGCACATTTCAAATTATTTAAAAGCATTTATAAAAAGAAAAAACACTGCAAACAAGGATTTAAAATACTTGATTTTTCCTGCAATTTTTTAAGTTGGTGACAGGGTCTCTTTAAAGAAATCCACATTTATCAATATGCCTGCTCTCAGTGTAGTTATTTGTACTCTTGACTACTGTATTTATTATAATCAGTGGATGTACATGGAATCTGTATTTAGTTCAAAATAAATATTTGAGAGGCAATGTTAAATAAAAGTAAAATATTGTGAATGGTATCCTGGTTATGATTCTGTTTTCCATTGCAGAATATTCCAACTTTAAGCCCATGACAATGAAGAAAAGAGGAAATAAAAAAAGGCTTTCATCCCATTATATCTTTTTTTTTTTTTAGTACATTTTACCCTTAGAATACTGTGAACTACACTAGCAAAAAATACACAAATGTTACTTAAAGGATCACTCTATGAGGCAGGGGGGTATCATCCACCTTCTTTTATAACTTAGGGATCGGGATCTCAGGTACAAGCATCTACCTAGGGCATCAATTACCTTAAGGGCCCCTAGACAATTGTGCATCCAGCTGCAGTGCATAACAGATTGGCATGAATGTGTTACATTAAGGTCAGCCCTTTCATTTTCACAATGCTGCCCATGCACTGTAACAAAGAAAAAGATGTCCCTGCATGGTATGTGCATGGCGGTGTGCCGCAGCACAGGTGCATTGCAGGCTATAGTATTTTTTTGCACTGGGGTACCATTTTAGATGAATGGAGCTAGACACATATTGTGCCTTACATTGCTGTAAAACACTCTTTACCGTGTGTTACTGAAATGCACAGGTATGAAGCCAGCCCCGATGTTACTGCTACCATGCCAATCCATTTTAGTAGCCCAAAATTCATATAGTAACTTTCTGAAAGGATGTATACAGAGAGACTGACTTTTTCTAACTTGCATATATGTTCAGATTCTTGTAGCAAAAGCCAACCAGGCAAATAGTATTCTTAGGTCAGCAATGGCAGCCCCCATAACTCTCTCACTTACAAGCTTCTCCTTGGGACACAATCTCCAAAATGAGAACTGAAAAAAACCTGACAGGTGTTAACAGTTTCCTACACTATGCAAAATGAATATTGTTTAGGGTTAAGATATATCTGGATGATATACTAAGTCTTTCATGTGTGCTATAGCAACGTAACTGTCTAATGTGTTTCCATTTTAAAAATGGTATTTAAGTTGAAGAATCAGACTTTAAAAGTAACTTGTTGGTGCAAGAGCCCCCCCCACC